TGGAAATTCGGACCTCAAGCAACTCTCATAATAACCTGAACCATTCAGAAGTGGAAACAAAGCCATTTTATTTGACCTGCATTGTCTGGGTGCGGGTTCCTTTTTCTATATTTGGGCTAGTTATTCCCAATGTGGTCTAAAGACTACAAAAAGTGAATTTGTAGCTCTTGTTTTTAGCAATAAGAGATGCAAATGTCATTGTTCAATGTTGCACAAGGTGCTAGATTCTGGCTGCTATACTAGTGATGGAGTGGATTAGTGGAATCTAGCTTTTAGATTAGGATTAAGTGGGGTTAAGCTCAACATAAATGCAATTAGATGGTACTTTAGTGGAAAAAAATATGCAGTAAAAGATGATCTATTTTTAGGTGGATATTAATGTGGTGAGAAATTTTACAGTCACTACCAGACAGCATGAGAACAAGAAGATGCATACGCAAATCCCATTAGTGAATGGAATTAAGACTCAACTCAACTTTTTTTTCTTGACTGACTAGAGAGTTGAAGGTAAGAATGGCAGGCTGAGAATTCCTCCATTTGAAATTATTATGAGCTATCTTTAGCAAATGAGTTCAATTTTATTAAATTGTGGAGTTTGGTGTACTTGTTTTACTTGTCCTAGTTGATATTTGCTAGCATATTTTTTTTTAAGTTGCTTATTTTCTCATGCTCGTTGGTGATCTTTTTAAGTTCATATCCTTGTGTTCAAATCTTTATACAGAGTCCTATTTTTTTTATATATAGTACGGAGTTATTAAATAAATTAGAAGTTATTTATAATTGCTAAATACCAGAAAGCAGGGCTAGAAGCCGAGTCAAATTAGGTGATCAAATAGAGAATATGTCGAACAGTAGTGCGAAATTGCGAATGTGTAAAAAAAAGTTTCTTCTACTTATACTTTAGTTTTTTTTCCGGACAAATCTTTCTAACCTATTATAGTATCTGTTTTGTTAAAGCCAACATTCTTGAACTGGGATGAGATTCGAACATGTGACCTCTTTGGAAGTGTCACAGTGATGTAGTCATGGACCCGGGCCGGTTCCGGGCCGGGCCCGGCCGGGCTTTTTTTTTGGGAAGGAAGGCCCGGGACCGGCCCGGGTAGCCACCGGGTCCGGTCCGGGCCCGGGCCGGGCCTCCGGTTCGGTCATAATTTTTTTTTCTTTTTTTTTGCTTTCCTAACCCCCCACTCACCCCCCAAACCCCCAAACCCGTCCGAACCATCAAGCCCAACTTGGCTAACCCCAAAAAAAGAAAAAAAAACAAAAAAAAAAACAATTCGGCCCGGGCCCGACCCGGCCGGGCCGGTTCGCCAAAAACAAGGCCCGAGCCCGAACCCGCCCACTCCACCGGGCCTAGGCCCGACCCGGACCCGAGAACCGGGCCGGTTCCGGGCTCGCACAGTGGCAGGCCGGGCGGCCCGAACCGGGTCCATGCCTACAGTGATGCGATCAGATCACAAGATACTTCGTATACTTTGGTGTTATGGCTAGACTCGGGCCGGTTCGGGCCTGGGCCCGGTCGGGACTCGGGCCAGAAAATTGGGGCCCTAGCCCGAACCGCCGGTGGCCGGTTCCGGGCCAAACCGGGTCGGGCCGGGCCGGGTCGGGCCAAACTGGTCCTTTTTTTTTGGTTCTCCTATTTAACCCCCTACCCCTCCCCCTCAACCGCAAACCACCCCAAACCACCTCAAATGGCCCAAAATACCTAATCCAACCCAAAACTTAAAAAATTTTCAAAAAAAAAAAATTAAAATCCGGCCCAGACCGGCCCCGAACCGGTCGGGCCGGTTCACCTAAAGCAGGGCCCGAGTCCGGACTGCCCATCACCCGGGCCGGGCCAAACCGAACCGCTGGACCCACCGGGCCCCGGGCCGGGTCGGGCCAAACAGTAACCGGGCTGGGCTGGTTCCGGGTCGGGCCGCCCGGCCCGAGTGCACCCCTATTTGGTGGGTTAGAGTATCTCCAATGCTATTCTTTTGAATAAAGGTAAATTTTGCCAAATGTCATTTAAATACACACTAAAAGAAATAAACAAGAGATGTGCCATGCATAATGTTATACATTAAATATTATCCGCTTGTCATTTATTATCGAAACAAACCACTACATATAAATCATCGTTGCCAAAAAATTACTCTGTATATAAATAAAAAATAAATCCTGCACAGGCAGATCACCCAAAAAAAGTTGTTTGCTCTATTTCCAATTGGATATATTTGTTCACAAGGTATTTAATTCCACCTTATTTGATTATTCATTCTTCTAGCATGAAACGATAATTAATTCCAACATCTGTACTCTTTTTTGGAATTATCTTGTAACAATATCAATGAAAATCGGTGACTCGGTGACCATGAAATTGTTTTAATAATAAACCAATAGTGCTTAGATTCGTTAAAGGCTCCACATATTATTTTTAAAAATACAGAGACTGATTCTATTAAAGCAATAAAAATACGACAACCATGAAATAATAAATAAAAACAATTGACACCACTTTTTTACGGAGACCGAGCACTATTTTCTCATAGAATTAAGCATTCACAGTGTTATACGTACTTTCTCAATCCCAACAGAGGTGTTCTAAAACGATGCATTGGAGAACAAAAATTAATCACGCTTTTTACATTTGTGATGTGGCAATTTTTTGTTATGTCAAAAGAGTAGCATTAAGAGCATCTCTAATACTCTTCTTTTCACATTTGTTAAATTTTGCCAAATGTCAAATAAATAGGATACTTTCTATCCACATCAAATACAAATGGAAAAAAAGCAAAAGGAGACCTCCAACGTTTACTGTTAATGGGTCAATATTGTAAGGATCTTTTCCGTGTCCGACTCAGGTCTTTCTACACACAATACTCACATACACCACTCTAGGGGAGGCTATAGCACACCTATTTTCTTACTCTCTTCTTCTAACCACAAAGGAACTCACACAAGGAGGGAGAAGGAAGATACTGCTCCAGGTTTATTTCTCTCCTAGGCTTATCTCATAAAGAAGGAGTGGAGTTGACTTTATAATAGGCTGCCAGCCTATTGAGAAGTCACGGGCAAACAACAAGGACAATCACGGGTGAGGCAAGATAACGTCACGGGTGAAAGCCAAGCCAAAAAATAGGGTGCAGCGGACAGAAGCAATGGGGCAGATTCCAGGTATATAATTGATCCAAGGTAAAAGGTGTCAAAGAGGGAGTAAATCCAAGGTAAAAGGTGTCAAAGAGGGAGTAAATTAATAGGGTGCAAGCCTCAGCTAATAAAGTGGAAGGGAGGCCTTGGTAGGACCAATACCTCCAACATTCTCCACCTTATTGGTCCTAGGTGGTGTAGAGTAACAATACAAGGTTGTGACAAGAATCATCATCGCCGGGTTACCCGGAATATCAAAAGACAAAACGGGCAAACACTTTATTACGCAACCCACGATTAGCCGCAGTCAAAGTTTAACACGCGTTTACAGGACAAGTGCTTCTCAGCAGAAAGACACTTGGTACCCATATCCGCGGGGTTAAACTCGGACGGGATCTTGCACAGCTTGACTCCACCTGCATCAACAATATCACGTATGAAATGGAACCTAACATCAATATGCTTAGTTCTATCATGAAATACAGGATTATTGCAAAGTTGGATAGCCGATTGGCTATCCGAGAAAATGGTAACTCCCTGTTTGAGAAACCCAATTTCGGAGACAAGGCGTTTGAGCCAGATGGCTTCCTTAAATGCTTCTGTGGCTGCAACATACTCAGACTCAGTGGTAGAAAGGGCCACAATAGGCTGCAGTTGAGACTGGTCCTTATTTAACTGCGCAGTTAGAAGCGCAGTTATCTTCAAGAATTCATTTGAATGCCTTCCCGATTGAAGTTTTAGCTGAAATTTGATATGAGCAAACTAGACTTGATGAATAAGATGCTAAAAAAAATTCATCCAAAAATTCCACCGGGAACCACCCCAAATGACGACGGCCGGACAGAACTTCCTAAATAAGGGCTTATTTGACCTTTTTTGGTTAGTACATGGGCCTATTTGCACCTTTTCCCGGCATAATTTGGATGTAATGCATATTGAGAAAAATGTTTTCGATAACATTTTCAACACGGTTATGAACTTCAAGGGAAAGACTAAGGATGGTCTTTCATCAAGGAAAGATGTAGCTTTGTTTGGTCATAGACCGGAAATTGCTATGGGCCCTGAGTATGTTGGTCCATTCAAGAAAGTAGTTTATCAACTCACGGACGAGCAGAAGAAATGCATATTGGAGTGGCTGGTCATGCTACGATTCCCTGATGGATACACTTCTAACTTTAAAAGATGTGTTGACTTAGAAAATTTGGTAATGAAGAGCATGAAGAGTCATGACTGCCATGTGATGATGCAGCGCCTCCTTCCAATTGCATTGAAGGGAAATCTCCCGGATAATGTGTGGACATCTATTTGTGATGTTTCTCAATTATTTCAGTTATTATGCTCACCGGTGCTAGACATACAGGCAATTCAGGATCTTCACCGTAATGTTCCCACTATTTTAGTGCAATTTGGAAAAGATCTTTCCTCCATCCTTTTTCGATGGAATGTAGCATCTACTTGTCCATCTTCCATTTGAATCAATGACCGCAAGGCCAAGTTTGTATAGATGGATGTACGGATTTGAGAGGTAAAATTAATATGCATTTTCCCAATGGTTTCATATATTGTTTATTTTAATATAAAATAATCTTTTAATATTGTCCTGAAATGTCTTAGGTTTTTGCGAGAGCTGAAAAAGAAGGTGACAAATAAAGCACACGTTGGATCATCATCTATATGCCAAGCATACCTCACAGAAGAAGTGTGCACATTCTCTTCCTTCTATTTTGAAAGAGATATCATGACTAAGCGAAAAAAGCCTGTCGGAAATGATAATGTTGATTCATCATTGTATGATCAAATGGTTTCCATCTTCAACTATCCGGGCAAAAGATATGGTAGAAGGACACACCGTCGTGTTGTCGGAGACGAGTTTCGAATTGCACAAACGTACATTCTGATGAACTGCCCGGAAGTTATTCCGTATTACAAGTAAGTCAATATTAACAGACACCGTAATCAGTTATTTTCCACCCTAACAAACACTCTAACCATTTCATTTTCTTATAATAAATGTAGTGATTATAGACAAATGCTTTCTCAAGCTGGTTATTCCAATGAGGTCATTGATGCGACAATCGACACTGATTTTCTAGGATGGTTCAAATCTACGGTAAATCAATAAGTTTTTGTAGTTGCAAGTTTACATTTTATAGTATTCATTATTAAAGAAGTAAATGACATTTGCAGATACTCAGTGAAGCTAAAATTTCTCCTGTTGATTCTTTATTGGAGTCATTAGCATGGGGTCCTGAAACACTTGTGAGGTGTTGGTCTATATATTTTATCAATGGCTACAAATATCATACACGGGCTTACGGAGACAATAAACTCACTATGAACAGTGGTGTGAGCGTGTCGACTTGTAGTTATGACAATTCAGAGACTAGTTTTTTTGGATATGTGGATGAAATACTGGAAATGGAATTCCCTAGCCACAACAAGTTATCGTGTGTATTATTCAAATGCACTTTGGTGGTTCCAGTGAGGGGGTGAAAAAGGATCACAAACATAACTTGGTGGATGTTAATCACAAGCGTGTGTATTCGAAAAATGAACCTTTCATATTAGCTCAACAGGCTGCCCAGGTGTATTACGCGGAATATCTGTCGACATGGATCAATCGCACTGGCTGGGTAAGTGCATGCACTATTAGACCAAGAAAAGTTGTTTCTCACGCGGTACAAAAAAACATTGATATTGATGTTTACCAACAAGAGTTTTTCCAAGCCCCAGTTCGAGACATTATTGAGGAGGATATCTTTTTGAAAGATTCTTCTGGAGCAAAAATTGAGCTTGACCCCAATGATGCCAACGATGGTCCGAACGAGGGAACTGAATATGAAGAAGAAGAATGGAACTTTCAAACGGAAGATACTGATGGTGATGATGAGTGCGTTGACCGGATTGACTCCGAAGAAGAAGAAGAATGAATTGCTTTATTTTCATGGCTTATTCCAAATCATTGAATTTGTAGTCTAATTTCTTGTGTCATGATTCTCATTTCTAATCTACATTGTTTCCGAGTAATTTTAAAATGCACTTCGGTAGATGATTTTTGGTTTATTTAATGAAATTATATTGTTTCTATTCTAAAATAATTTTAGCAAAGCTTTTTTAATCAAATTAAAATGTACCTGTTAAAATTTTCGATCTTCTCTAACCTGCTGTAATCCGAATACGTATGCTTTGTATAAAAAAAAATTCCTAGTTAAACAAAAAACTATTTCAACTTACATACTAAGACCGATTTTATTATGCAAAAAGCGGACGTTTTTATTACATTAATATTAGTCAAAACAGTCTAAAATTACTGAAAGACCAAACGATACAAGATAATAAAAATCACAGAATCAAACGATTTATGATAATATTAGTACATAATAAACACACCAATTTGAATCTTCAAACTGCCTTGCTACCATGATATTCAATTTTAGCCTCCGTTTCACTTCCGTTTTTCAGTAACTTTTTTATTTTCTCGTCTGCAACATCATCAACAAGCTTCATATATTTAAGTATTTCTCCGATAGTATCAATTTGTTTCCCCAACACATCAAAATAACATCCCCATATTTTTTCTCACTTGACCCTTCTGATTTTTCCATAATATATCTCTTTCTAATTTCACACTTTCTAATTTTTTGGACACAATCATGTATATTTTCCCTCATATGACATATTTATAGTACAAGTTCAACAGCTGGCTAGGATTTGGGTGGGATATTTCCGTCTCACATGCCGTAATTCCGTTGTAATGTACGTCATTGGCACGGACATGGCCCTCCAAAATCCGAGCCACAATACGTCTGACATAATAATTACTGACCACACAGAGTAACAGATGCCTTTTCAATTTGGTACGGATAATTCCGTGCCCCGTCCTTCTCAAATTTCAAATTTATTATCTCCGCCGCTCTTTTCTTGTTTTCCGCGCAATTGGGACGGATATATCCGAGCCACCGCGGCTCCAAACGCGAAGATTAATCCGGATTAATCTAGAACGTCATTGGCATCGATATTGTGTCAGAAAACGCCGTGCCTATTCAAATTCAAATTAATTAACCCCACCGGTTTTTTTTTAATTTTTGCGCGCATTTGGGACGGATATTTCCGTCGCATGCCGGTGCCAACACCGCCCAGATATGTGAATACTCTAGAAAGGGTGTGGCTCTGTGTTTGCGACGGATAAATCCGAGCCAATACTGGAAGTATATAACCTGTCCTTAGCAGATTTCGCCCAAACCCTAGCCCATTACTTCAATTCTCCCCCCCCCCTCTCCGCCTCTTGTTCTTCCGCCCAGTACGAACTCCGGCCACCACTTACCCTTCCTCCCCCTCCACTCCCACAATGAACTCCGGCCACAACATACTCTCCCACCACGAAGTCCGGCCACCATTACTTACCCTCCATCTCCCACCACGAAGTCCGGTAACCACTGACTCTGCTTCCCCCTCTATCTTCCACGACTTACTTCGTCCACCACTTACTCCGGCCACATCATAGTCCGTCCAGCACGAGGCTTTCACCAACGACGCTTGGCTCCATTCAAGCCGCCTCCCCTTCCTGCATGCCGTGTTTGTAGCCATCTCCGGCCACGACGACGTTTGCTTCTCCCTCACAGGCCATCGTCTTCGCTCTGTATCCATGTCATGTCCCCTTAAAATACTCCTTGTTTACGGTTTTTCATATTAATTTTATTTAAGCGTATTGTTATTTTAAGTTTAAATAAAGTCATTATTTATAAAAAAAATCAAAAAATTTAGTTTGTAAATGATTTTTATAAACTATTTATAAAGTATTATCATCTATATAAAATTATGACGTTGGGATTTCTATAGTATTAAAGTGAGTTGTTTTTTTTTTAATTAGAAACGAAGTATTATTAACAATAGAAATCGTTGTATTTATGATTAGAAACGAACTATTATATATTTTTGTTTATATATTTTTATTAGAAACGAACTATTATAATGAACTGAAAAATATGACAGTGGTAGTTATGAAATATTTATAAATTTATATTAAAGAAGTGTTTATAAATTAATATTATGAACGAAGTATTATAAATATGATAGTGATATTTATAAATATTGTAAATTTATATTATAAACGAAGTGGTATAATGAGTTGTTTATAATTTTTTTATTACAAACGAAGTATTGTAATCATCTTGTCCATGCAGTATCATAAACTTCGTTTTTATTAACGAAGTATATAAATTCCGAACTCTTATATACATCTGAGTGCTGAACTCTAAAATTAACTATAAATAATGTTAAACCAAATATAATAATTATGAAAGCAGTAAAACCGTATATACATGATGTAGGATTATAAATTGGTAATTAATCTGGGAGTTTGACAATCTGTATATTACTTCCTTTCATAACTAGGTGTAACAATATGTTTATATTATTAAATCTATATTTCTATTTTGTAATTATTTGGTTATAACCTAACTGTTTCACTAGTCTCTTTCTATAAATTTGTTATGCGTTTCAATAGAATGTCTGTCCGTAGAGGTTCATTCACTTTGGTTACTTCCTCCCGCGAAGGTCGGGGTGGTGGAGGTAGCCCACACATAGTCTGGAATGACCAGAACTCTCCTGTAGCTGATTCACATGAGTCTGTCCAAATCCGACACCTTTATGATGATCAGCCAAATGGTCTTGATTTCTCAACCGCTGATGAATCTGTTCCGAAGAAGACCTTCATTTCACCCTTTGAAATGAGAAGGTAAAGAGTAATACTGCATTATTTTATTCTATATAAATAATTTTTACCTATACATTACTAATATGTGCTTTTATGATGTAGCAATCCTACTGTCCTCAACAACATTATTTCAATCCTGACTAACAATTTTCACGGGCCATGGCGTTCTTATATGAATGCGGATGCTGATCAACGCAACCATTGGTGGAAACTGTTTCAGGTATGTGGGACGTACTTACACTTAGTTTTTCTTTGACAGATTGTGATCTATTTTGCTGATGAACTTCTTTTTGAGTTTTCAAAGGAAGTATGAGTGGGATGTCTGCTTTAATACCAAAATAAAGAAGAAGTTCAAGTCTCGGGCCTCTGAATGGCTGAGCAAAAACATTGGTAGAGCTAGGCGGGACAACAAGAAGCCGGACTGGATTGGTGAAGGAGATTGGAAGCTGTTGCTAGAGTATTGGTCCTCTGATGCGTTTAAGAAGAAAAACCGTGCTGGAAAGAAGAACAGAAATTCTAAAGCAGGGAAAGAGTCACAGTATCGCGGTGGAAGGATACCGGTGATTGCTCATGTTGAAAGGCTGGTAAGATTTATTTTATAAAATTTTAAAAAAATCAAAGAGTTTTTAACCTATAATGAACTGTGTACTATTTAAATTCGTAGACGAAGGAGTTGAATAGGCCCCCGTTGAAGATTGAGGTGTTTGACAAGGTGTATGTCCTAAAATCTGGTGACCCCCTGCATGTGTAGTTGAAACGAAGGTATATATCAGTTTGTTTTCATACAGTTATATTATAGTATGAGTATATTTGAACCCCCTGTTTTCTGATTGTGGAACAAAAATACAATGAAATGAAAGCCCAGGCTGAGTCTCAAGGGAAATCGTACGAAAAGGATGATTCCGAGCTGTTTTGCGTGGTGGTGCCAGTGTACAAAGGTAGGCGGTTTGGGACGGGACCTGAAGCCAAAGCGCTGTCGGACGTTGAATGTTCTAGCCGGATATCGGGGCCGACTCAGCAAGAAATTGATGCACACATCAAGGACCAGCTGGAAGCCCGATTTGCGGAGCAGGAAAAGCAGTGGCAAACCCAAATGGTGAACATGACCTCCTTGTTTACGGCGTACATGGAACAAGTGCGAAGTGTGAACCCTTCCGTCCCGTTGCCTAATTTCTCAGATTTTCGTACCCCGACCTCTGCCCAAATGAACATGCTCCATGACTCGGATGAAGTGCGACTGGAAGATATATTTGTGTGATGAAAAAACAATTTTAATTTCTGTACTGGTTCTGGACATCTTCTGGCAATTTACTTGCCATTTTTACTTCTGTTTTGGCAGTGGTTGATCTGCCTGGAATGTAATAATTTCGTATTATGTACATTTGGTTTTATTTACTGTTTTATTTGCCTAGACTGTTTATAATGTTCTCTATATTGCATATTTGCATGTGGTCTATATGAATGTGTGCTTTTAATGTTGTTTTGTTTCTAATGATGCAGGGAAAAAATGTACACCGTACATATGTATGGAATACCATACATATGTACGGTGCACTTTTTTTTGTAAGTTCATTTGGCACGGATTTGGCCATACCAACCTTCCTGGTAGAATGGTGATATTTGCTGAAGGTTTGGCGCGACCATTATCCGAGTCAACAAAACGGGTTTTGGTTTGGCCAACCCGACAATAGCCGTTCCAAAATCCGTGCCAATTCGAATCCGAGACAAAGTATTTGGGTCCTGTAAAGTATGTCGTGAATATTTCCGTTCCCAAATCCGAGCCAAGGGTTGGCACAGATATTTAATGTCGTGCCAACTCGTTTGGCACGAGCCAGGTGCGGCGGATCCATGATCCGTGCCAAATCCGTGCCAAATCCGTGCCAACAGCGATAGTCTGGGATTTTTATGAAGTGATCCAAGCCACAATCTGAGCCACAATAATTCCACTACATCATTTTGATTGATCCATGTGGACAAACGTATGGTATCTTAAGAGTACTATAGAATCTACCTTCAAAATATAGCTAATAAACTTTTTATACCAAACAAGGTCATAGTCTCGATATATAAATGCTAAACACTATAATTTGTG